GTTTTAAGATATATTGATTTTTTTCTCTTTTTTCATTATTATTATTAATTTTCATGAAAATTTACAGAGACTTTGGATTTCCATTCGTTCATTCTTGCAAAATTACAGGTACTTTAGTGATTTTTTTTTAATTTTTATTTTTTATTATTTTTGTGTGAGTGTACCATCAAATCGGATCTGACTGGTACAGGAGGAGACTATCCCTCCTTCCCCAGCAGAGCATCTGTTGGATTCGAACTGTGCGCCTCTGGGATTGTAGTTGCAGCTCCTTGCCACTAGACCGCCAGAGCTCCCCCGTACTTTAGTGATTTTTTTTTATAATTTTTTTTTTTACAGAGGTTTTGGATTTCCATTCATTCATTGCCGCAATTACTTTAGTGATATTTTTAAAAAAGAAAAAAGCAAAACCCTCTGGCCATCAAATTGGTTCTAACTCATAGTCACCCTCCACCAGGTTTCTGAGGCTGTAAATCATCATGAGCAGGGGGAAATGAGAAGATGAAAAGATTGACAGATTTGCTTACATAAAAAATAAACATTTCTGAATAGGAAAAAAAAATATCATTGTTATTGTTGTTATGTGCCATCAAGTTACCTGTGACTTATAGTGCCTCTGCACAGTAGCTCTGAACCCTGTTCTGAGCCAGTCTCAGTGTCTGCACTGACACACCTGCCTTCATTATTCCCATCACTGTGCCAGTCATCCATGGTCTTCCTCTCCTGTGTTGTTCCTCCACCCTTCCAAGCATGATGTCCTTCTCCAAGGACTGGTCCCTCCTGGAAACATGCCCAAAGTTTGTGAAACAGAGCTTCAAAATCCTTGCCTCCAGAGAGCAACCTGGTTTTACCATCTTCAGGTCAGACCTGTTTGTTCTCTTTGCAGTCCATGGTATGTTTAATACTCTTCTCCAGCACTACAACTCAAAGATGTCGTCAGTTCTTCTTCTGTCATCTCATTCGTTTTCCAACTCTCTGATGCATAGCAAGTAATTTTGAAGACCATGGCCAGATTAGGCACACTTTAGTCTCTACAGTGACATCTTTGCTCTTCAGCGCTCTGCAGAAGTCTCTGACAGCAAACTTTCCTAATCCAGGTTGTCTTCTGATTTCCTGGCTGCTGGTGCCAAATATGTTGATTGTGGACCCGAGCAAGCTGAAATTGTTCACAACCTCAAACTCTTCTCCATCTATCATGGTGTTGCCAATTGGCCAAATGTTGAAAATCTTTGTTTTCTTGATGTGCAGCTTCAATCCATATTGAAGACAGCAGTCCTTGACCTTCTGCAGCAGACACTTCAGGTCCCCTTCAGTTTTTAGCAGGCAGGGTTGTATCATTTATGTAACGCAAGTTGTAGATGAGTCTTCCTCCAATTCTGATGCCACATTCCTCCTCATAAAGACCAGTCTACCAGCTGGTCTGTTCCACATACAGATTGAAAAGGTATGAAGAAAGGACACATCCCTGACACATTTATTTTCTAAAAGTGAAGTTTAAAGGTCAGTTGACACTGGGTGGAAATGAAAACACATGACAACAAACAGGGTTAAGTCCTTAAGGAACAAAGAGCAGAAGCTAATTAATAAGAAAAACACAAGAAACCAGTGGAAGATCCGGCCTGGTTATGAATAGGCAAATCACAGAAAAATACCAGTGCTTACTAGATGGAGTCAACTGCCCTCATATTCCCAGAAATAGATCTTAAAATTATTATTGTTGGGTGCCACAGAGTTGTTCCTGACTCATAGTGACCTAGTTGTCCAGAGAGTGAACTCTACGTGGCCTTGCACTGTCCTTGCTATGTGTGGGCCCACTGGTGCAGTCACTATGCTGTGTACCACATTGAGGGTCTTCCCCTTTATCACTGACCTGCTCGTTTACCAACCATGATACCTTTCTCCAAGAATTAGTCCCTCCTGATAATATGTCCAAAGAATATGAGTTGAAATCTTACTATTCTGGTTGTACTTCTTCCAAGAAAAATGTGTTCATTCTCTGGCAGTCCATGGTATATTTCTTTTTCTTTACCAACACCGTAGCTCAGATATATCTATTTTTCCTCAATCTTCCTTCTTCATTGTCTAGATTTCATATGCATATGAAGCAAACTGAAAATACCATGGCTTAGGTCAGGCCCACCTTAGTCCTCAAGGTAACATCTTTGTTTTTGATTTTTTTTAATTTTTTTTTGTGTGTGTGTGAGTGTACTGTCAAATCAGATCTGACTGGTACAGGAGGAGATTGTCCCTCCTTCTCCGGCAGAGCATCTGGTGGATTCGAACCGTGTGCCTCTGGGATTGTAGTTGCAGCTCCTTGTCACTAGGCCACCAGAGCTCCCCTGTTTTTGAACACTTTAAAGAAGTCCTTGGCAACAGATTTAGCCAATGCAACTTTTTTTTTCTTGACTGCTGGTTTCATAGATGTTGCTTATTAATTCAAGTAAAATTAAATTCTTTTTGTTGTTGTGATTTTAACAAAAGTTTACAGAAAACTTGGATTTCCATTCATTGTTGCACATTTTCCTCCCTACCCCTGACCCAGTTTGCTTATCTCTTTAAAAGAATTCATTCATTGTTGCACAATTTCCTCCTTTCCCCCTACCTCAGTCCATCTGCAATGCACCTCTTATTCTGGACCATTGTTATGCAAATAATACCTAGTCATATATTCCTTTTCAACAATTCTTTCTCTCCTCTATTCCAATGCAGTGTTCATTATTTATTCTCTCTTTTCTTAGTTTCCCTGCAACCCCCAGTGTCAGTCCTGTTTTATAACAGTGCATTTATGCAGTATTTGTCCTTTTGTGACAGATATTTCACTCAGCATAATATCCTCCAAGATCACCCATTTTGTATAATATTTGATGAGTTCTTTGTTTTGCGTAGTATTTCATTGTGTAAATATACCATAGCTTCTTAATTATGATATTGCTTATTGGTCCTGTTATGAGGATTTTCTTTGCTTTATGTTGAGGTGGTGGTGGTGTGTGCTGTTGAGTCTGGCAGGTTTTCAGAGGCAGTAAATCACATGGGAGATTGTCCGTCCTCCTTCCATGGATTTGAACGGTGTGCCTTTGAGATTGCGGTGCAGCTTCTTAGCACTAAACCACCAGACCTCCCTGTTGAGGTGAAGCCATACTAAAAACTGTATAGTTTTGGATCATCAGTAAGTGCTTCAAGTCCATTTGAATTTTTTTTTTGTTTTTTAAACCATTTGGCTTTCATCAGGCCAGGTTGTGTCATCTTCGTATTTCAGGTTGGTTTTTAATTTTTTTTTTTACTTTTTTTAATTGTGATTTTAACAAAAGTTACAGAAAGGTTGGATTTTCATTCATTTATATTGCAAGTTGTTAATGAGTTGTGTTTTGTTTTACTTTCTCCTCCCTCCCAATTTTGGTTTTGTTTTGAGGAATGTGCAACTACTAAGTACTGGGAGTTTTTGGTTTTATTTTTTGTTTGTTTCACCAACCAAACTGGCAAGACTTAGACTAATTCAAGACATTGAGACTATAAATTGATCTCACATTTTTGGAAGGACAAATATAAACATGCATGTCCTTCAACTCACCAGTTCCTCTTAAAAAAAATGTATAGAAATAGCCACATAGGAATATATGGATGCCCATTACAATGATGTGTAAGTAATACTTTTTAAAAAATGGAGATAGTAGAAACATTTAATAAAGGGATGGTTAAGATTTGGTAGATTCATATTTTAGAATAGATTGGAGTGTTTAAAAAGATACAGTAGCTCTATATGTAATGATACATAAATAAATGCTTGTTAGGAGTCACATTTCAGAGTAGTAAGTGTAGCGTGATCCCATTTTTACATTTCTATAAAAAGTATGTGTCTGTGTATTCAGGAAGAGTTGGGAGGATACACCCAAGCTTTTTATAGTGGAGTAAAAGGTTTTTATGCCTTATGTATGCTTTACCATTGCTTGAGATTTTGCAATCAGCAGATGACGTTTTAGACTTTTTACTATTTTTCTTTTTGTTATTATAGTATCTTGTCTTAACAAAGGGGCGTGGTTTCTAGACATGGCTCCGTCACTTAGCTAACAATTGTAATGAGAATCTTAACCTCTCATGGCCATGACCACTTTCTCTGTTTATGAATGAATGTGTGGATGCATGCTATACACCCCGGGTTTTCCAGGTGTGTGGAGGGCATGATTACTTTAATATTCAAGAAAATGAATAAGCCCTTTGTTGCCTTTGCAATGAATTAATAGGACAAGATCTGTATGGACCATTCCAACTCTAGCATCTGCAAATATACTTATTTTTCAAAATATTTTTTTTAAAGTTTGCCATAAGTGTTGCCTTTCTTAATACTGAAATGTGTGCACATGCCTTTGGTCAGCACTGAGAGGGAGTCAGGCAAGTTTGTAGCTTGTCACCTTTGTCTTTCTATTTTGAAAACCTTTCCTCCTAATGCCCCCTTGGCAGGAAGGGCAGACCCTGCAGGACTGAGGTCTATCTCTGGCTGGCTGGCAGGGTTGCAGGGCTTTGCTCTGAGCCCCAGAGAAGAGAAGCTATTTTTGTTGTGGGTGCTGAATGGCTGGCTTCTCTCCAGGAGCGCGTGCTTGCTGGTGTGGTTGATGTGTCTCGCCTGCTGCTGTGCCTCTAGCCCCTGTCTCCAGCCCTGAGCTTGGACTTGAACACAGCATGTATGCTGTCACCTGTGTTGCTTTCTCATCTCCTCACCCCTCTGACACCAGAAGACAACAGCAGACAATATAGCCTTTGTGAAGCTGGACTTTCTTTTCTACTAACACTTTGCCTGAAAGTGCCCCCTCCTCCTTCTTAACTGCAGTGGCCGAGAACACAGTCCAAGTATTGGGGACTTCTTTGCCTTAATTAAGCTAATAAAGCAGGCTTTACCTCCACCAGCCTCAGGGTTTTTGCTCTGTGCTAAAGTTCTTCTCATCTAGCCCCCAAATCGCCTTTTATCAGCCTTGCCTAAGAACAATGTCTTTCTTGGTGTGGGCCTTAGCATGAGCCTGGCAGGCATCCAGGTCCAGGGTCCCCAGACAGACCCGGTATTCCATGTCAGCTGCTGGCAAGAAGGCTGTTGGAGCAGGTGCCCCGATCCATCAGTCCTGAGCCTGCACAGAGGGGCCACTCCATTGGATTGCACAACTCTGGGATGAGGACACTCACACTGGACACCAGGGGGTGCCATTGACACAGGCAGCGCTGTAGGTGGTGTCCCTGGAGTTGTGGGGTCCTGGCTCCAAGCCTGGTGCCTCCTGGGACTTACATATGGACTGAAAATTCCTCCACGTCCCCAAAGTGCTTTTTGGGGACCAGGCTGGAAGGACAGTCTTTTCCTGCTAGAACTTCCAGTACATCACAAGTAGCTAGTGTGGGGAGTTTCAGGGTAGACTTCTCTCTCTGCTGGTCATCAAAGGCACATCATTTGACTGGTTTTCTCAGCGGCCTTCTTGATTCCAGCGCTGCTGAAGCCCTTGCCCTCATCAGCCTCTAACTTGGGGTGCAATTCTTGTCTTTCAGCTGCAGAGCTACTTTGCTGCCTGTGAGGATGAGACCCCTGCCATCCGGAACCATGATAAAGTTCTGCAGCGCCTTTGTGAGCACTTGGACCATGCCCTGCTCTATGGGTAAGACAGATGGTTGGGGAAGATGGAGGGTCTCTAATAGGGCATGACCAGGGCTTGGCAGCCACCAGAGATAAACCCCTAGCCTTGGCCACCTTTTACTTCATTCCCTTGGTGGAAAGGGATTTGTGTCACTCAGACGGGCCACAGGCTCCCTGTAGTGAGTCCAGTTAGTTGTGGGCAGGTGCAAACATCAGGGAAAGAATCCACAACAAATGGAAGGTGGTCTGAATGCATGGTGGTTGCCAGTGGCATCGAAAAGTACCTGCTTTCAGCCCTGAGTTCCCTACTGACTTGAAGGTGGGGACCAACTCCCTGCGGAGTTCCTCGAGCCCCCAGTCAGGGCCATAGCAACTCCTGTCCTTTTTTGTTAGACTGCAAGACCTCTCATCTGGCTACTGGGTGCTCGTGGTGCATTTTACCCGGAGAGAGGCCATCAAACAGATAGAGGTGCTACAGCACGTGGCCACCAACCTGGGACGAAGTAAGTAGTTGCAGGGGGCTGCTGGGAAAGCCCTGTCCTCCTGTGGGTAGCATGGGACTTGGCTTTGGCATCATGATCAGGCTTGGAAGGCTGATAGCTTTATGGTGTACAACAGCATTGGAGTGTTAAAATGTCAACACTGGGAGCTCTGATGTCCTAGTGGCAAGAGGCTGCACTGTAATCCCAGAGTTGCGCGGTTTGAATCCACCAGATGCTCTGCTGGAAAAGGAGTGACAATCTCCTCCTGTACCAGTCAGATCCAATTTGACGGTACACACACACAAAATAATACAATTTAAAAAAAAATGCCAGCACCTTCTCCTCCCTGTATAAGAATTTTCTGGCACATCCGCCATGGGTTTGAAGGGAGCCAGAAATGTAAAGAGAACTGGACTCCACAGAATTTCAGCCCAGGCACGTGATGGGGCATCCTGTTTCTCCCTACGCTGGATGCATGCTAGCCTACTGGATACATGGGGACTCCGTGTGTTTCTCAACCCATGTGAAATCTGGAGTCTGCCTTCTGCCCTCTTTACCTGTTTCCTGGCCAACTGCAGGCTGGAATATGACTGGGAAAAGAAAAGACTTGCAATACCACACCAAGTGAGAAGACTGGTGGAGTCCTTGGTCCACTCACCTGCTTGCTCTTTCCTTTTTGCCCTTGCTTGACAGAAAAGGCCAGCATTCTGAGGTGCTTCCTTCTGGTTACTCCTGCCCTTTGTTTGCAGGCCGAGCCTGGTTGTACCTGGCCCTCAATGAGAACTCCCTGGAGAGCTACCTTCGGCTGTTCCAGGAGAACTTGGGCCTGCTGCATAAGTACTATGTCAAGTGAGTGTCTGTCACGTAACGTAGAGCTCCCTTGAGAGTCTCATCCTGGAGACCCTCGTCATCCTTGTGTCTAACTGTGTGCCCCATCAGTGCTGGCCTTGCATGTTGAGGACATGTCACTGATGACCAGGGAGCCACTACAGCCTTACCAACTAGTATGGTGACTTTTACGGGAAGTCCTGTTTTCCCCTTGGGCTCTGTGTAGAATCTGGTGTTCTGTCTCAGCCTGACTCTCTAACCCATCTGGAATGCACATGTCCCCTCTGGCACACCTTTCCCGAGGCTACTGCAGAAGCAGAGTATTTATAGCAGCTGCTGAGAGCCTGCCGAGACTGGTGCTCCAGGCTCTTATCTGGCCACACTGCGAGTGTAGCTGAGCCCCAGTAGGTGGACACTTGGAAGGAGTGGGTGAAGACTGTATGGGGCTGGGCACAGTCCAGGAATGAGCGTGTCGTGTGTCAGCTTTCAACATGAAGAGCTTGGGCCAAGCTGGTCACCAGACCCACAAGCACCATCTTCCCTCTCGGTGTCTCGTAGGAACGCCCTGGTCTGCAGCCATGATCACCTCACTCTCTTCCTGACCTTGGTGTCGGGACTGGAGTTCATTCGATTTGACCTGGATCTGGTGAGACACTACAGCCCAGAAGAGGAGAGTGGGTGGGTGGGCACGTATTCAGTTCCTCACAGGCACATGCTGACCACGAGCAAGGCACTCTGTTTAGCTCAGGGACACATGGGGTCTGAAAAGTGGAAAATGAGTAAAGATGGTGATTCTCTTTGAGTTTTTTTTGGCCAGAATTCCAGGGAACAGGTGACTTCTTTTTAGTTCTTTATCCCACTTGAAATAAAACCACATTGTCTAGGACATTTTGACACTGAGGACATATCCGTGTCCTCAATAAAGGTGACAAAGTATTTGTGCTTCTAGCAAGTGTCATTGGCTCCATGTTTTCCAGCCAACCTGCTCTTGCCCACAATTTTCAAATTCTCAGGTCCCTCAGTACCACGAACTATAGAATAAAAATAACTAAGATAGCCTAAAAATTACCTGAAGAGGTTCCGAGGTGCCTCTCAGACTCAGGGTTGTCAAGACAGATACACCTCACCCATCCTAGTAAAGTCATCTTCCTTGGTCCCTACCCCAACAACATAGACCAAAGAAGAAAATTGTCTGGTAGTAACAATAACAACTAAAGAAAACAAATGACTAAAAATGAAAAATTGAAGAAATTTCAGAAGACATAGTTTATAGTTGGGTTCTAATAATTCTATCATCTCTTTAACCTGAGGCCTACTACAACTTTAAAAAGCCAGAGCCAAGGGGGAAAAAAAAAGAAAGAAAGAAAAGCTAGTGCCGGGGA